TTTTCAAACAACTTAGATATCGCTTGACACGAAGTCAGGCAATACAAATATTATTCATTATGTAAAGTATTGATAGATTCCTATAATCACTTTGAATGGTAACTTTAAAACGGTGATCATGGATCTGTTAAAAACTACGCCAAGCCAAAGTAGGAGTAACGGTATGCTGAACTGGATTCATTTTTATAGTTATTTAAAGCCAACCGATCCATCATTCTTCAAAACATCACCCTACAGGAATCCAAAAGGAAAACGAAACGCAAGTCTGTATTTTTCAACCCGACGTCGAAACCGTTCCCAATGATCCGCTTGCTAGTTTTGTAGTTCATATTTCTGCAAATACTATAATACGTAATGCTTGCAAAAATAGTCAGGCCTTCATGCACTTGTTGACCTTATTTTCTTTTCTAAAAGGATAAAGAACACTGTAATAGCTAAGCATGCGTTTGTGTTACAGTCTCTTCGATACATAATTAGATACGAAATGGTCTTGCTTATATTTTATTCACAAAAATACCAAGAATCGTTCATACCAAAGTTTTATCGCTGGATGTGCTATTTGTTCAGCAAAAATAATATTCGAACTTTTCACTTCCACTTTAATACATGTACAATTAAATTAGGGTTACAGTCATATGGTGATGCTTGTATTGGATATTTTGTAATTAAATATGCATTATGAATCCTGCCACTATTATAAAAAGAGGTAATAACGATTCATGAGAGTGTCAATGGAATAATTCAGTTTAACCTGAATGTAACCTTTTCTTGATATCAAATAGATTTCTATATATTTCCAGTAATATAAGTACTTTTGCGTATATTATCCAAGTGTAATCATATTGAATCACAGGACATATGAATTGTATATATTGCTTTTCATTTTATCAGCGAAAAATTAACTACGTAACTCTACGTACCCAAATTTGCCTTTAGAAATAGAATTAAAAAAAAATATATCAATCTCCATGTGAAATATGTATGGATATTTCTATTCGTCCGAGATGACCTAATCTAGAGATCATGCCATTTCTGCGTGAAGCAAAGATTGACATTTCGCTGTGGGAAACAGCTGGATATAATTTCCGAGGTCGGTACTGAAACTGTGATGTCGGCCAATGTCCTCTTAGATAACACGGACTCATTAACCAATATAATAGAAATTGCACTCAACGCGAGAACATCTGCCTAAAAAACTGCAAACCTGGTGCATAATAAAAACGATATTCCGCCAAACCGTTTCCGGTAACATTCATCGACAATCTCCAGGGATGTAAATGATGCATGTTTTCCGGTAGTATTATTTAGAACTTTAGAGAACAACCGCCTGCCCATGCTGACATTTCAATAGTGAAAACGGAAACCTTGCTTGTTCATCAGAACATCAGTAAGACAGTCAATGAAGCCTGCCTGCAGGCACCGTACATTGTACATGCGAAAAAATGAAAACAAAACAATTATTTCATTGTTGAAATTTTAAAGATTAATAATATCTGTGCCAAGCCAAAGTTACGGAGCAGTCGCAGAGAACTCATTAATCAAATCAAACCTTAACATATTTAGCTTCTATTCAAAGTTTATCATTTCGCAATTTAGTGCTAAGCGGATATTTGATTAATCAGCATTCCATGCATACTTATTGTTTTTCACTTATTTTAAAATGTAAATGGATTTTGCTTTAATATAATATATGTTTTCGATTTTTATGCTTTGGTAAATAAGAGCCAATCTATGTTTAATACCGAAAGCAACCTTTGTATAGGAAATTGTAAGGTAATAACACTCCCGGCGGAGCTGACTTTACCAACATCGGTGTTCATGGTAAATCGTTTGGATAAAAAACGTTCAAAAAGCATCTACATGTAATCTCTAAGTGGACAAAATGTCGTGTAGATAATTTCGGTTTTTAACTTCTCAATTTCTTGGAAGTGTATATTTTAGGGAAAGTTATAGTTCGATTTCTAATAATTCAGCATTAAAAATATAAATAAATGTATTTATCAAAATTTCTTTTCGTGCAAGTACAACTCATCTGATAAAATGTGCTTCATAAGTATGTAACTGATAAGCGTTCATACTGGAATGAATGCCTCTTGTTTTATCAACAACACTTTCGTCTATATCTCGGCCATTGTTAAGTCTTTAAAGCGAAAACTGTGCTATTGACAACAAACAGCAATTAACAATAATAATAATCAAGATGATAAAAAATCGACTTCATATCTCACAACAAACTAGAATATTTCTCATATGATCAGGATGGCGATTTTTAAACCTTTCGAAACCTAGTGTTGTAAGTTTCTCCTTCAGTAGTCGCCAATCACAAGTCATGACAGGTTGGAAAAGAAAAGAAAGGTCAATGATGGTAAAATTATAATTGTCACATTGAGGCGCTTAATCATGTTTTTGGTATCAATCCTGTTACGTTGTGGCCGTAATAAAAATAATGACAGACTCTGTATATAGTATTTACAACTACATGTTTATTGCTACATGGCTATGGTGCCATATGGTACAGGGTCAGTATACACCTGTGTAATATCCATGATCAGGGCCTTGGCTGATTAGCCTTGACACGAGTGCATTAATTAAAATACAGGCCGGTCTCAAATGGGTCTTACTACTTTGACGTTATATATATCACATATTCTATATCATCTATTCGTTATCTCTTTTATTATTTTATCCCCCTTTTTATTTTTTATTATATATACATAACATGCGAATGCTTTTAAAATGAACCATTTCATTTTATCTTCGCTACTCATATGTTTGTTAAAAAATATCACCATGGCCCTAAATGACCACAGCCGTCGATGGGCTGTTAAACATAAACAAACAAACAAACAAACAACTTATGGTAAAATAACGTGGTTTGACTGAACGTCCTAAAATATATCAAAAATTGCCAATCTTCGCCAGACACATGAACAGTTAGATCCTTTTTATTTTTGTTCTGTTGTGTAATACACGGGTCAATATGTAAGCGATAGCGCGTCTCAAGTAATCAGTGCAAAGGGATCCAATATTCTTCGTTTGTTTCAAAACAAAACAAAACAAATTCTTTTCTTCGGAATAGGATCATAAAGGTCGCTTTCGTTCGACATAATTGTAATTGAAGGTGTAAAACATGTTACTTAAGGACGTTATGACGTCTAATGTTGGGTTTTCTTATTATAAACGAATATGTATCTGCATGAGTTGTTAATAGCACAGAATAAGAAGTGATCACATGAACATGATGGCAGCACCTTGCAAGCTCTGGAATATCAAGACTTGTCGCAATGGCACCATTTTGCCGGAAAAAAAGCTATTTTTATTGCTATTATCTAAATTTGATTCTACCGTTTGCGTATCGTTTTTAAAATAAGTATGCCTGCAAAGGAAATACCATAACATTTACACATATATATTATCGTCTAGGCTGATTTAAGGTAATTGTGTTGCATTGCCACAAGGCTTCTGTTACAACTCATTTTTCAAGCCCTTTTTTCTATTTCTATGTTGATGTTGATGAACTGCTACGTGTTCTCTCTGACAGTTTATTATTCGGGTTAATACATACAGTTGTGGGACCGTACAATGCATCAAAAATAGCGTGCGCACATCGTCCACACATGGTGCGCACAACTGTCCGATTTAACAATCGTTCGCCCCGTTGTGCGCTTCTCTCCGCACAAATGCGCTCAAATGTGCGATTCGGTAGAATTGGTTGATCAATATTATGGAATGGAAAAAAATCAAGAGCCCTCGTATGGAATAAGAAACACTGTATAGATTGCTCATCAAACTAATTAGGATTATGTTTCATTTTACCACGCGTGTTACACAGCATTACAGTGACCGTTAGACTATGAAGAATGGATTTAGCTTCCAGGTAACAGAACAGAAACCGGAGTTTTACCTGACCCGTGCCTTACAAAGAGGGTTGATAAGTAATACCGTATGACCGGTATGAAAGCACAACTGGACTTTAAGTATGTGTTATTTGCATTCGTTTTGGTCTACAGCACCTTTACCTGGATTTTCACACCTTGGCGAGTAACGTAAGTGCCCCGGGTGTGGAAAACTACGGTCCAGGTACAGGTACAGAGTGGCTATGTTTACCTGTATACGTGACCATGTCAATACGTGTATGTGCTATTTTACATGTGTCGATTTGGGTCCCTTAAAAAACATCGAACGCACCATTTCTAAAGTAAGAAAACATATACATAGAAAGATCAGCTGATATATGTAGCTAGAATATAGAAATATACTTAAACATTAAGTTTATTTGTTTAAACACGAGGCCGTATTTATTGTTAACCCATTTCTTAATTTACACCAACCACGATTGTCATCGCACAACGTTCGTCCATCGTCCGCACAAATGTGCGCAAACAATAATAGTCCAGATTTCAATAGTTCGCACATCGTGCATACATCGTGCACACTCCGTGCGCACATCGCGCGCACACCACACATCGTGTAACGTTGTGCGTTCCCACAACTGTATCATTTGTTTCATGCGATTACGTTTTAAATGTCAGCGAGAAAATTGTACAAGAGGATTCGTGTTTTTACTACTGCTATCACAAGCAAACTACAATTATTACGATTGATATATTGACGTCATTAGTTCTTGAGATTAATATGAAATATGTATTGAGCTAGGAATGATTATTGCATTTTTACATTGAAAAACCAACATTTTCAATTACACTATTTAATATTATTATGATTAATTTTCAAATACTCAATTAACAGAAATAATACATTTTAAGTTTTATATGGTTGGAAGTCACATTATATTGTGTTTTGCTATTTCAGGATGATCAGATGAAGCGTCACGATCCGTGTTCAATACCATGTCAGATGTTATAATATCGTCGTTAATCCAGAGGTATGGTCACCAAAGAAAGATACACAATAGCTACCATGCTTTCTTAGGATATGCTACCCCACACAATATTTCGTTTTGAGAGGATTCGGAAGTTTATGTGACGTCATGGAGGAATGGGATAAAAATGTGGTAGAAATTTATTGTGTTCACAATGCTACACGTACTGTATGCAATAAAACTATATCGGATATGGAAAATGAAAAAGAGGGCAACATAGAAATTTGGACACCTGACGTCATACAACGTGTAGCTTCCATTGTAGTCATCATGGTGCTAACTCTGGTCGGCAACACCGTCATCATTATCATCCTCACTTGCAGTAGGTACAGAAAAAGGAATAGCCGTGTCAATATATTCATTATTAATCTGGCTGTTGGCGATCTGACAGTCTGTGTGGTAACTATGACAACAGAGATATTATTCGTCGCGTTTGGTGAATGGGTCCTAGGAGCTGCAGCGTGTAAGATTCTCACATACGTCCAAGTAGTGACATTAGCAAGTACCACTTTTATTCTCACTTCTATGGGCTTCGACCGATACATGGCTATCTGTCGGCCCCTGAAGTTCAGGAGTTCACACACAAGAGCTCGACGGATGATCATTATTTCATGGGCACTTGCGTTTATGTTCGCGATACCTCAGCTCCTCATTTTTGTGCAGACAATTGACGAGGAACTTCCGAATGGAGAGATTCAATATGGCTGCCGTAGTCAAGGATATACAGCAATGTGGCAACGGAAGATTTATTTCCTGTTCATGACGATGTATATTTTAGTAGTTCCTGCCATTTTATTATCCTACTGTTATGTAAACGTGGTGATAGTTGTCTGGAGACAAGGCAAGCTTATTACTGGTTCAAACACCTGTTCTTTACGGAAATCCATCGTCAATACTAGTGCAATACCAAGAGCTAAAATTAAGACCGTCAAGATGACATTTTGCATAATTATCAGCTTTATCGCTTGTTGGACTCCGTATTTTGTGACAACACTAACGAGGATATATAGTGATTACACATACAAGTTTTCTCCGTCAGTCATGGCTTTTGCCGAGACTTCAACTCTTTTACAAAGTGCTTTAAATCCACTCATATATGGATTTTTCAATATACAGATCAAACGAGGACTAATGGAGGTGTTTTGTCCAAGTAGGATTAACACAAGAGAACGTCATGAGATATACAATCATGCATCTGATTGTCTCACAGTGTCCGGGGATTTTAAGTGTACGAATCGTGGCATGCTCAAACTGAAGGATCCCACCTCTTCGTCAAGTAGCGGATCCTACGATAGGGGGCGCTCATCACACGGGTGCATTATTGCAGAGGCAAACACTAATGGATTTAAACTACGCGTACGTTTTCTGTCGAAAGAAAAGTTGTACATTCATGACCGTGTAAGTTATTCTCGTTGTTCAGCAAAGGAAAATGACAATGAACACATTACCTGTGATAGTGTTATGTAAATAGGTGATATATGACGTCATGTCACAAAGGTAAAAACACACTATTTTATATAGACGAAAGTACAACGTATGATCTTGGAAGAAAGCCATTTGAGATTTTGATACTGCAATTGCATAAGAAAAGTTTAGGTAGAACGTCATCAATACGCCATATCTTATTATAAATGGTGCTCAGGTAACATGACCATTTACGACGAAGTCTTTGTATTGGCTGATATCAAGTCAATGGATGGTGTCGATCAGGAATACAAACTGGTCAGTGATCTTATGTCATCGTGACGTCAGAAAAGACTGTGTAAGTGTTGATTGGTGTCATGTGTAGAAAACTCAACTTAGCACATCACAATCAATTGTTTATGCTTTGACGTGATATCTTATACATATGCATAGCTAATGAGATAACGTCCCGTATGACTGATCAGGTAATACAGAATTATTTGTACTATGACGTCACTATTTCATATCTTATCCACGTTTATGTAAAGACTACATAATATAATTTGCTAATTCACATCTGTTTATTTGCTGACGTAGGGATCGAAGAGTCGTAATACACAATAGTTTATTGGAAGGTGTCGATCAGGAATTTATTTAAATTTATAAATGATAATATATCATAATATATCTGATATATAAGTAATAAGTAGCTTTTAATGGAAAGCAAAAGATAAAATGTAAATCCGTAGAAAAGTCATTCATTGTTAAACCACTTACCTCTGTACATTCCATATTTCTAAGATGAGCAGTTTGACTGTTTTAACATAGAAAGGTTAGAAAGTACATGAACTGAATTGCCATTTCCATTTTACGTCTATTCTTATTCGTTTCATAAAAAATATTGGTATACATTATGTATGAACGATTTGTCCTTGTTCTGCCGATTCAGTTTGTACACCTTAAATGCAGTTAATCATCGCACAGATTCACCCTCTTGAGGCTTGTGAACTACACCATACATTGAACGTTATTGTGATTGATAATGGGGCCCATTGGAAGAATTTGACAGGACAGAAACATTCTGATGTTTTCAATAAACTGCTAAGATTGAGGGGCACAGATAAATGTTACCGGTGTACGACAACTTTGCCCCTTATACAGCGCGGATGAATCGTTTCAACGAAGATTCTGACTGGTTTGTCAAACATAACCCTTTTGCTCATATTGTTAATGGTGAACGAATAAAAAATGTCAATATTTTTTCTATATTCTTGATATATTGTTAATGTAAATATGTTCTCCAAATACGGGAAGTCAACCCAAGTCATCTATGTTTAATTACGTTTTTTGTATTTCAGAATTCTGTTTGTGAAAGATTTGTGTTTGATTTATCGAGGGGATCATGTGATTATAAATTTCTAATAACGCTACGCACATCAACTTTCACTTTTTACGAAAGTGATTAAATACTTTCATAATGGTTATTCAGTTAAGTTTCCCACTGAAAACGATATCATTTCGACGGCATACTATATTCTATACTGCACCGTACATGTTGAGATGTGAAATGGTGAAATTACTGAAGCTGTTTTGTTGCTGCTGTTAAAAATATTGAGGCTTGTTTTGAAACTGACGGCACACAATTTTCACAAATTGTATATTCTATGTTAATATTCCAGTGATATGTTTCTTTTCATATCTGCCTAGGCTAAATGTCTCGGGAAGAGTTCGTCTATAGTATGTTTGGGGTAAAGATATTGCCCAGACAACGCTTCATGAAAACTCTTCCCATGGGAAAAGTCATAAAAGTGCAATAGCCAAAATTAGGGGAATTGGATATTTCGCACAATGAATGAGATTCATGCAACAAGTCTAAACATGCTCCTCATACGATTTAGATTCCTCACGTGGCCTAAAAATATAGTTCCATCATTGAATACTTCTCGGACAAGGTCACACACTCTGATGAATTACTTATGTACTGTTTCCAATGTCTTTATTCAGTATACAAACCCCCGGAGAGGGTAAAAACCTACAATACAAACAAAGAGGTATTTGAGAATCTTATAAAATGGACAATATCACATAATTTTCTATGATATATGACTTATATGACTTAGGTCTGATTATCCTATAAACAATTACCTAAATAGCAGACGTAATCCCCACGTGCGTTACATGCTTACATTGATATTAACACTATAGCTCACTGGAGAAACAGTATATGGCTACACGGCCACATTAAACGTAGTTTTAAAACAACATAGGTTCAAAATATCATGTACAAACTCACAATATGGACTGTTACCCCATCAGCAGCGGCGAGTCCTTTCGCACGAGGAAAGTTTTCACCGGAAACTAATAACTAGAACATAAAATGATGTACGCCTCTCGCGCCAGTCAGAATTATAAAGGTGTAGCGACACCAACTGTCAATGTTACGTTACAATCTCTTAACTGACATGAATTGGGAAATGTCTACTTGGTCTGATATGCTAGTGTGCCTTGATAGCTGTTCCGTCTTTTCGTATTCAGAGTTATCTTCTCTTGTGAGTAGGTATTGATTGTTACGTCATTAGTTTGTGTGAGAAAATTACGTCGTTTTCTCAAAAATTGATGACGTTACTCTCTCAAACTAATGACGTTACAATCAATACCTGCTCACAAGATAAGATAACTCTGCAATACGAAAAGACGGAATAGTCGGAGACAATGACAGTGAGTTGGTCGAAAACTTCATCTAGGATATTATCTAATTCTCTTCATGACAGTTGTAAATTAAGTCGGGTTTTCTTATAGTAGATAACAGGACGCCCTTCCGGAATAATATGTATCATGACAAATGTTCGTATACTTAGTAACAGTGAATACCGATGAAGATAATTATATTCTTCCGTAGCAAAATACGGCTCAAATTAAACCCTCGGATTTATGACCAAACCACTGAGATTGGTTCCCGATACTTTATGTTATCCACAGACAATGTAAATACATACCAGATTTTGAAAGCCCAGTACGAATATGATAAGAAGTTCTCATTAAGTAAACATTTAGTTGAACAGTTTGGCTACCGGATAGTGTTGAATACCAATTTAAAAACAAGGTTTTAGGTCTACCGATTACATATTCATATAAAAGGCCGTGGGGTAAGAAAAGTATCATCACATTTCAACAATTTCAAACTGTTATACATAAATATTGTTGATCACCTTCCCGGTACTCTCGATGAGGGTGTGACAATACTTTGATTTGACCTTAATCTATATGACAGGGTGCCCGCAATAAGGATCAAACGCTTACCCCTCATGGACACCAGATCATATTACAATATATACTTGTACTCTTCAAGGATCTCCGTATACAGCTTACCTTTGTCCATATTTTATTTCAATGTCATCAATTTTGAGTAAGAAATACGTTTTTCCACTTCAGAATTAACTTTCTTTTTGGGGGGTTATTTTGACCTGCTCTATGCAATATATATTAAGAAACTGGACAGCAATATAGTTAAGGCTGATGTAAATAAAAAAACAAAGGTTACAAAAGAAATCTACAGATGGACAGATTTATTTTCCCACCTTTATTAACAGTGTAAAGCGTATTTTAACGATACATGTGTAGCGACTGCTGGATTTACAATTTTATCATGCCCTCGTGGAACTATGATGCAGCAGCATCCACGGCTAAGGTTGGATCGTTGTTACTTTGTCACATACCTGATTTTCTTTTGGGGAACGTGACATTACAACCTATTAGCATAACGAAAAAACTAAGTAGAACTAAAACCGTAATTAAAACTCAAAATAGACTTAATTATGGCACTATCAGTAAAAGACAGGATTAGACGATAATAAAAAATTAAATAAGACCAGGTGTGTCGTAAGGGAAAGCGTTATGCTTATTTAAGTCAAATCCTAATAATGACAAGTTCTCAGAGACATGACCAATGCAATGACAACATAACCATTAGGAACTCAAATGTACATACGTACATAATAATTGTCATTTATGCTTAAAACTTCAATACATGTAGTTGTATCTTATGATACATGAAGTAAATATCATATAATAAAGTGCATAAATTACCAGGCAAGTGAAAGATTGTTTGACTAAGTGTTAACACGATGGGAGCTTTTGTAGAAACGCAAAATGTATCATATTTATATTTAATCAAATTCGATGTTTCTAATTAACATAATGTTAAATGCTGGTGTACACCATTGCTATCAATAGGCTAAAGATTGACAATGACTATAGACTCATACCATCTAGTGAATTTGTTAAGTGGTTATTGAAAATCCCATTCTGTCTCATTTGTGCACACGGACTGCCTTAGGAGTATGCCTTCTTTGGCAACTTTTTATGTGGACATTTAAGTGTGCTCCATTTAAAGATGTACAGAATACAAAGTAATGGAGTACTTAATTAAACTTTTGGTCAATACAAAAAGACAAAATACGTAAATATTTAATTGAACCCTATGGACATTTTCTCCATTAAGGACTTGTCATAGGTACGAAAGGTTCGTAACGTAACGAATTAGCAACTACGTTAAATAGATGATTAAAACATATCGCCGCTTGCGTAACATCTTTAAATATGTATACCAATAACATTGTTAAAGCATTAACATATGGGAGCTTGATCGAAAGAAAAAAGGAGACGCCCGAATGACATCATTCATGAATTCCAGGAAAGTGTATAGGTAATAATCAATGACCTGAAAACATTGAATACGTTTTGTTCATTTCAATTTATTTGGAAGTTTGGGGAAATGATCTGTTTTAAATTCAATATATAAACAAATCTTGTACATGACACATTTAGTGGTGAGTAAATAACAGTTAGATCTGGGTGTACACAACAGCTATTCTACTTAGACTAGCCAATGTCTGCGATAATTTGGCATTGCTCTGGAAAATATAGATTTACATTCTAAAGATATTTTATAACAATATATATAAATAGGAAATCAACAACAAAATCAACAAAGATATTTATATGTTAAATACCAACGTAGCATTGAGTTGATATAACATAATAATATTGTAAGAAAAAAAGATAAATTGTTCTCGATAATTTACCCCATGCATATTTCACGTTTCTTATTTCGTAAGCGATTGGTTTGATAATAGTTTACAATTCACAAATCATTAGGTTCAAGGGCACCTGTCAGTAAATTTGGTTTCCGAAAGACAATTTTCGGTATTTTCGGTTTTTATAGATCTCCTTGTTCAACGATCATTTTAAATCATGTAAACATTTCAATGTAACTGCTCCGAAAAGATCTTCTCTATGCAAATGGGTATGCTCGTATTTTACTGAATAAAACTTGCTCATTTTCCTTCATAAAGAAATACGGGAAGTAGTCGTCTGACTTTTGGTGTACTAGTGTGCTGGATTCCTCCTGACGTTTTGTCAATCCTTTACGGAATATAGAAAATAAATCTTCATCAATATCTCGTTAATTTAAATGCTGAGTATCATCTAGAAACGATGAAGAAAAACAAAACAAAACACATCATACAGACTACTTCAGTGAGAATGACACGAGTTTTACTGAAGCTCTACAATACATGTGGAGCATTTGTGTTGCGTTGAGTATTAGGGAAATGAAACAATAAATCTATCTTTCGTTAGGAATAAGATAAAGCCGTATTAATGAATATACAATTTTACTGACTAAAGGATAAATCATTATTAATTAAACTTTTTCGTTTTACAACCAAAACTCACCTTCTACATACATTTTCAAACTGCTACATCTATTTCACAAATAGCCAAACCTATACAAGTGCTAAGTCTTGGGAAAAGGTATACAGATCAACGATGAAGTACACCTATATATGCATGGAACAATGTGTAATTATCGTTCTGCTCCTTCCTAAAATCTTATTGAGACTTTATCATAGTCACAGGTAAGTCAGGGTGTCACAGAGCAAGAGCAAACAAATGTATTTAACATGCAAAGCACAGCCTTTGAAATTGACAAAAATAAAGAAAGCATTCCAATGTTGTTCCTTAAATTGCATCCGACCAGAACGGAGTCAGTATTGGTTTGTACACCTGCACGCATCTTTTAATCTCTGATATTTTTAACCAACCTTATGCTTTAAAGGTTTAATTTCTCGATTCTTGAGACATGTCTGGACCACGAGGTAATAAACAAAGGAATAAATCAGATGAGGGAAATATAGTTATTTAAGGAGGATATTGTATCTAGAAACAAGTTAAATTTCTGGCT